ATGGAGTGAGCGCGAACCTCTTGTTGAGATAGGACCTGTTCTGTGTAAAACAAGCAGCCGAAATAGCGTCAGCCCAAAAATAAAGAGGTAAGGAAGCGAAACTTAGCATAGTTCGGGCAGCTTCACACAAAGATCGGTTTCGTCTTTCGACTATTCCGTTCTGTTGCGGTGTGTAGGGAGCTGAGAAATTGTGACTAATTCCCTTTTCTGCAAGAAATCTTCAAACTCCCTGTTCTTGAATTCGAGACCATTGTCGCTTCTGATGTTGCGAACAACCTTCTTGAGCTGTACTTCAATTTGCTTGATAAACACTTTCAGCTTTTGAGTCGCTTCAGATTTGAGCTTTAGAAAGAACACCCATGTAAATCGTGAAAAGTCATCAACGATAACAAGAATATACTTGCTACCACCGATGCTTTCGATAGATGAAGGACCACACAAATCATATGAAGTAATTCGAGTGGTTCAACAACTTTTGTGTTGATTATAGATGGGTGACTTTGACGACTCTGCTTCCCCATTTCGCATGCAGCACACAAATGATCTCTGTCGAACTTGAGCAATGGAAGACCCCTAACATGACCTCCAGTGACAAGTCGGTTGATATCTTTAAAATTGAGATGAGATAATCTTCGGTGCCACAACCAGCTTTCGTCGGATTGAGCTTTTGACAACAAGCATATAGCTGGGTTTCCTTTGATGGGTTTAAGGTTTAAGGGAAACATTTCACCCTTTCGCTCTGACTTGAGAATCACTTTCTTTGACTTTTTCTCTATGATTTCAGAACCTTCATCATCGAACGAGACTTTGAGACCTGTACCTCCAACAAGCTGAGATACACTAATTAGGTTGTGTTGGAGTCCTTCCACATAAGCCACCTTCCTTATAGTAAAGTCCCCATTTGTTATCATCCCGTATCCCTTTATGGTGCCGAAAGAATTATTTCCAAACTTGACGTTGCCACCATTTGCAAGAGATCTGTATTCCCTAAGCTCCTCTTTCCTCCCTGTCATGTGACGTGAGCAGCCACTATCGATGTACCATTCTTCGTCGAACTGCTCGTCACTTATAACCTGCAAAAATTAGACAGATTTAGGAACCCAAAGTTTCTTGGGTCCACGTGAGCTTTGCATGGGAACGGGAACAATAAGAGAGACATCAACAAGATAAGTTCGTTTTATAAGAGTTGTTTCATCTTTCCTTTTAATGGTAAAAACTTTTATTTTGTTAGGATTGGGTGAGTTAGGTTTGGACTCTGGTTTGGATTCATTGACCTTCTGCTTCCCCTTTTGCTCAGCTGACGAATGAGATTTTTGAAAGCAAGAGGAATCAGCTTCAGAGTAAGACGGAGACGAATCGGTGGGAGTAGAAGAATTAGAAGAACGAGAAGAAGAATTAGAAGAACGAGAAGAATTTGAACGAGAGGGTTTGGATTGAGAGGATTTTCTGGCTGGAGACTCTAGGTGACCCTTTTGCTTTTGATCGTTGAAGGGACTGACCTTAGAGTTTTGTTCTCTTTTGACTTCGGAACCGAACCTTTGCGTTCGGTTGGAGCTGTCTTTGGAACCAACCTTTGGTTTCGGTTGAAGTCTTTTTCAGAACCGAACCTTGGCTTTCGGTTGATATCTCTTGTGAACCGAACCTTGGCTTTCGGTTTTTGTGACTTTCAAGCTTTCCTACAGGATTGTTTTCATACTTCAGATTCTTGTCTTGATGAGAGAAATATGCATTCTGGGAATGCCAGAATTGTTTCCTTTCAGAAAGGTTCTTCCTGTATCTATTGTTCCTTTCTCTCTTCCTATTCCTCATCTGTGTAGGTTGATGATGAACATTTGCTTTCGTTTTCGGTGTCTCCTTGGCCGGTTCCTTTTGAACTACAGGAGTTTTACTTTGAGCCGAAGGAGCCGAGGGAATGTCTTCTTTTGCCGAGTGATCATTCTTCTGAGGAATATCTTTTGTACCACTGGTGCTTGGCTCATCGAAGTTGTTCGGCTTATTCAAGGGTTCAGGTATGTATCTTCCTTTGCTCTTCCAGGAAGTTCTTTCAGATAAACCAATGGTTTCGTCTGCATTATCAATTGGAGCTTCCCAGAAGTACTCATCGCAGCCATCAGCATTGTCTTCGTTTACAATGGCTACAAGTTCAGCTGTTTGATGTTCGGTAACTCCTGTTACCTTGTATACTTGATTCGGAGTGGTCCTGACCTTTTGATACACAACAGCTTTCTCAACTAATTTTGGGGACTTTTGATGGGACAACCGAGCGAACTCCACTGAATTTTCAGAAATAAGATTCTTGTGGTTTTCAGGTTCGGTTTTAATAAATTCTGAGCAGTCAACCGTGTCCTCTACAGAAATTTCGCTCATGTTTTCGTCCTCGTTAAGCTCAGATGCATTTTCAACATCAATTTTGTTTTCTGAGCTTACGTTGGCGTTTAAAGAGTCAAATTTTTGCATGGTTTCGGTTCTCAGTTTAAGTCTGTCATTTTCATCCAAAAGATTTTTAAGCATGTCCTTGTGGTCTTTGGATTTAATGAAGGACTCAATTTTGTCCAGTCCATACATGTAGGTCGGATTGACATCATCAGACGATATCACACTCTCACAATTGTAGGCTTCGGCATCGATTTCATCTTCCTTAAACTCTAGGAAGGGCAAAATCATGCGGTGGATCTTTTGGCCTATTTCACAATCCAAGTGAAGCTGAGTAATATTAGAATACAGACGTTTAGCAATTAAACAAAAAACATTCCGCTGTTTTAACAATTTTAAATTGTCTCTTTGCAAATAAATGTTTTCATCTTTAACTTTAACTAATTCCGACTCTTTTAACTCTATCCACATTCTCCGCTCCTCACTCTTCGATGCCGCCCTGCTCAATTGATCAGTTAGGTTAGAATTGGTGACTCGAGTTTGAGTTAAGCTACTATCTAGATGAGAAATTCTTGTATTAACGTTTTTTAGTTCTTTCTCATATGAGGATGAAGGTACTTTGCATGAAATAAAAACAGATTGTACCTTCTTTATCAGTTCATCGAGCTCACTAAACTGTTGGCTAAGTGGTTTGGCCGCAAAACACATATCCTCCTGTACCTTCGGTCCAATACTTCCTCCATCGGTGTTGTATCCCCTCATTTGAGATACGTCAGTTACCATGAAGCATCTTCCACCACTGCTTTCCTCCTTAGCCACATAAGCCTTTCCATGGGTAGGCTTCCTCACTTCCTCGTCTTCTGAGTCGGTAGACCAAACTTCCGTGCTACCAAACTCATCACCTTTAACCGAACCCTGCACAATAAGAGCATTAATAGAAGGGTTAGCGGTAGACTTTTTCTTTCTCAACTCGTCCAGTCTTTTCTGCAACACAGCTTCCTCGTCATTCCCATCATCTTTTTCAGCCATCTTCTTAAGGACGTAGTCCTTAGCATAGTGGTTTTTCCCACCACAGTAGAAACAGCTTACTCCGGAATCGCCATCCACCTTCGGTTCCTTCTTGTGCTCCTCAGCCTTCGGTTCATTGTTCACCTTTTCAGAGCTGTAACTCCCCTGCCAGTTTCGGTTTTTGTTGCTGGGGAATCTCTTCTTTATGAACCTCTTGGGATTGGACACCATCATGGCATAATCCTCTGATGTGAGATCATATTCCTCCAGGTTGAGGTCTTCATCCTCCATCACAGCTTTACTTTTAGATAGGAGGGCCAACGAACCAAGACTAGTAGCAACATTCTTTTCTTGCACCACAATCTTCTCTTGGGACTTGAGAATACCCACCAGTTTCGCCAAAGAGTATGATTTAAACTGCTCATGGGCTTTAACTGTGGAAACCACTGCTCTCCATTCAGACCTCAGACCATTCAGGAAAGTAACCTTCTGTTCAATAAGCTTCCTTTCAATATCGTGTTTGATCATCTTGCTGAGAAGATGATTGAAGCGATCAAATGTCTGGGTCACGGTTTCTTCGACTCCTTGCCTGAATTCTCCAAACTCAGATAAAAGCAAAGTCTGAATAGAATGTTCAAGATCCTCGTCTGTAGAATACAGTTCACGAAGTCTATCCCAAACTTCCTTTGCCGTCGTGCATGAGCTAACCAATCTGAATGTGTCGGACTGAAGGGCGAATCTGATCAACCTTAATGCCTTGATATTGCACTGGAATTTATCCTTTTCATCTTGTGCAATATCCTTCACGTCCTTTAGCAGATCATTGTACTCTTTTTGTGTCTTGATGATTCTGGACGTTGCAGAATGAGAAAACGGTCCATTGGTGATGGCTTCCCAAATGAGATACCCATTATCCTCCGATCCAATAACGTAGTCTTCGAAGTGATGCGCCCATACTTCATAGTCATGGGTGTATAAGATTGGAATCTTTGTCGTCGAACCAATGCTGTTGGAAATATTAATAAGGTTTGATTGTGTCGCGTCCATTATGATCGTAAAAACCTGTTCAAAGATCAGACTTGTAATAAAGCAGATTAGGGCAAAATAATAAATATCAAGATACGTCAATAAAGAGATGACGGCTCAATAAATATTGATAATTGCGGAAAAACCCTAATGGAAATCTTTTTCACAGAAAAGATGTGTATCAATTACACAGCCTCCTGCTCTGATACCAATTGATGAGATTAAACTAACCTTTAATCTATAAAGATCGATTAGATCTTGAACAAGTAAGTAAACAAAAACGATATAAACACAATAATAAGAACAAGACAAGATGGAATCAAATGTGTCGAATGATTAAACAAAATCCTCAGAAGAGCTCGATTAAGAACATCAACTGTAGAGGATTGGAAGGTTACAAGAACGATCAAAGAAACCTGATATCGTCTAGATGTATCGCTATTCTCAGATCTCTAAAAACCTTAACCTAATATGCATGCAAGCGTAAAATTATATACAAAACATAAAAGGTTCACGGTTGGACAGGCCCAAACCGTAATACAAAAAGCCTTATGCTAAACGAGCCCAAAAGACGCAATCTTCAAAAATAATCTTTAGCTCAACAATATGATATCAGAAACTAGATTATCAACTTTTTCGGTCATTTCGTTGTAGATTGTAGCAGAGGCATCCACAACTTTGTTCATCTTCTCAAGATTTGATGAGTGCTCTTTGGTGAGGGTTACAAGAATGGACTTGACTGCAGCTTGAGAGTAGTCATCAGAGGAGGAAGGGTTTGAAGCCTGAAGCAAAGAATCAAGCTTTTCATGGATGGCTTTTATTTGCCCTTTCGTTACTGGAGCTTCGTCATCACTCTCAGTCCTAATGGTGAATGGACTAAAAGTGTATCTGGATTGTCTTGACGAAATGGGAAAATGGACGGTGAGATATGAGACGTTGTAAAACCTAAAATGTTAGCCCCCGTATCAGATGCGTTGACCGAAACAGGAGGTTCTATAGACATTGTTGGTGGGACAGTGGAATCAGTGAATAATGGAGTAGATAAAGGAATGGTGCTTTGAGGTTGAGAAGAAACTGGTATGGACATGGTGCAATAGTTATTGGTGTGGAAGAGGTTGTAGTTTTGGGTGAAGGAGGAGGATATAGACATAAATCATTGTAAGTAGGAGTTACCTTAGGGTCAGATGTGACATCTTCATTCTGAACATGTTCTTCCTCATTGCGAATAGGTGGTTCCTCCTCGTTACCAACATCTGCCTTAGTGTTAAAATGCGAACGTTCACTTTCAGATGGAGTGGGGGACTTGGTCTTGCGAGCAACTCTCTTCAACTTTCACTTTTTAGGAGCAACTGCAGATGGAGTAGCTTTCGCCTTTCGCTTTTTGGGATTGTTCACAGGCTCGGATGAACCTTCCTTATAACCCTTTTTCTTTTTCTCCCTTCTTGCTCCCCTTGTTACCCCTTTCTTTGTTTTATCTGCTTCAACAATAATCAACTACATCTCAAGAGTTAAAGGACAAAAACCAAAGGCAGGAATTGTACGATAGCCTTTAAGAATTTTGCTGGCAGGAGGCACATCACGAAGAATGGCTTTAGGGATTGAGCCAACAAAAGCGAACTTAGAAGTGTCTGCAACAATGATTCCAGTGGTGTGAAGGGTTGAAACAATGGACATCAGGGCATCTTGCATAATTGGAATCTGCAACTTGGTGATGGCCCTTTGAACAATGATGGACCAGAAGCGTGCACAAGAAATTTCCCTATGGAGTTATTAAATGTGTGCTTTGAATCAATTGGGCCCAGAGAACAGCACCACAGTCAATGTTTAGTCCAGTATAAACACTATAGATGATTGCCATGATAGCTTGCTGGCACAATCAGATCCAGTAACTCTTTCAGAAAAGGCCTGAAACAGTAGAGTGAAGAGGCCATTCGATTGTGGTGGCAGATTTGGTTTCCTGAACTTGGAGACAGCGGATAAGGTTTCTTTATACCCCATTTGGTAAAACATATCCAATAGGTCAACATTGGACACAGATTCAGGGCTAATCATGTCATCCGATTGAGGAAGCCCTAGAACAGAGTAGAATCATGATTTGGAGATGGTTGTTTTGTGATTGAGGATCTCAAATGTAATCCTCTGTTCTTCTTTGATTTAACACATAGAGGGATAGGCTTTCGATAGCAGTGACATCGAAACGCTTTCTGTCTTGGTTAGGACTGTGATCAGTGGAGAGTACTTCAGGCACTCAATGATCACAAGCAAACGACTTTCATACTTGTAGGGATCAAGCTCGATGATCAGGTTTTGATGCGACTTGATGGTGAGAAGTTAAGATTGCCCTGTTTGTTCTTGAATAGAAGGAGTTTTAGATGATCCAGCGATTGTTGAGTTCTTGAGGAAGAAGAAGATGAACAGTAGAGAGCCTTTTTTCACCGAAAGCCTTGGAGAAGATTTGTTAGTGGTAGAGAGAGATTACTTCATCAAAAACCTTTTATACCGTGCGATTGAAGAGAAAATTCCAGAGAGATATTGCATCGATTAATGAAACATCGCCTGAAAAAGCGCGATTTGACAATTGTGTATGTCAGAAATATATGTCATACGACGATAAAGTATATGTCTGTTCAAAAATTAATGCACACTTTTGAATTCTTATCCTCAGGAAATTGCCGCATCAGTTTTGCCCTTTCACAGTTGAGTGTGATTTCATCTATCTCATATGAAAGCAAACTTCGTTTTAAGAGAACATAGGTTGAACTGCCAACCTAAAACTGAATGTAAGTACCACGAACCAAAACTTTGAAAATCACTAGGATCTTCGTGCAAGAGTGTGCCAAAGATACATAAACAAAGCAATAAATTTTAAAGGATTCTAGTGATGTCTAATAAGACACGAAACTGTGGATCCCGGGCATGGATCTCTTTCTTCGAAGTCAAGAGAGTAAGAAGTGCCTATGTGGTTTCCCGTTGAAATACGATCAAGTGTTTGATAAGAAACATTGAAAGACATCTTTTCTTTAGGCTAAATGGGTGGCTGTATCTTCAACGAAACTCCAAAACTTGATATAAGTACGAATGTTTAGATGAAGTACTCGTGTGACCAGTGTATTCAGTTGAACGAGTAGGTTTGGAAATATTTGAGTGACAAAGAAGGTTTTAGAAATCTCAAAAAAAAAAAAAAAAAACTTGATCTTATGGGAAGAAATGTCTTGGGACAAGAACACTTCATAAAGATCTCGCAAAAGAAAAAGAGATTTCTTGGTACAAACCACGAAAGTGGCTTTTGTTAATTCCTTGGTGAAAATATTGAACGTTCAATTGGTCACCGTCAATTCATTCAAGAGTTTTGGATTTTGGGTTTCGCTTAGTTTGTGGTGGAATGAAGCTAAGATCATTAAGAACAAAATACAAATATTTTTTTTTGAATTTTGATTTTATGAAAATAAAGAAAAAACATAAGGAAATAAACTATTTTTGAAAATTTGAATTTTTTTGAAGAGAATTAAAAACATAAGAGATTAAAAAACAAAACAATGATAAAAAAAATTATACAAATTGTACAAAATGATACTTGAGGAATCAAACCGATTCACAGTGTTGAAGCATACTGCGAATGAATAGTAGATTGCGAACTACTGTGAGCGTTCGCACCGATTTGCAGTGTTAACTTTATTAATGCGAAAGTGGTTTCAGAACAGATTCAGCTTCCATCATTCCTAGGCCTTGAGAGTTCTATTGAAGGTGGATTCAGGTAAGGCCTTTGTCAATACGCCAGCTAACTGATCAACGGATCTTATGAAGTGAATTTCAACATTACCATCTTCCACATGATCTTTGATGAAGTGATACCTTAACAGTATGCGTTTCATCTTAGAGTGTTGCATTGGATTATGACAAATGCGAATGACACTTTCGGAGTCATAGTATAATGGGATTCGTTTCATGCTTAGGCCATAGTCATGAAGTTGGCTTTGAATCCAAATGACATGGGATGTGCATGAGGTAGATGCAATGTATTCAACCTCAACTGTTGGCAACGAAATGCAAGTTTGCTTCTTGGATTGTGTGACAACCTGAAATTGTGTAACCCATTTCCGTTAATAAAATTTATTTTTGTTGAAAATTTTTCGTTAACTTTTGGGTTAGGCAAAACAATTAATGTTTCTATTTTTATCTTCTTAAGTGTCGGAACAAAATAAAATCACGTGAAAACACCCCAATATTCATTTGGAAGATTTTTAGTTACAACTAAGTCGGGTTACGACAACTTAATCGGGTACGACCATAAACTTCGTTTAACGTTGGTATCGGGTAGATTTCCACCGAGCCACAAACTCAAGCCTTATATAAAGGATGAGTGACCTTCATTTAAGTTTTTTACCACCTCCTCATAACTTTCTCTATCTACTCTCTCTCTAAAACTCGAGTTTTGATCCAAAAACGCCTCTTCAAGCTCCCAAAATCGTAAGTAATCTACCCTACCTTATTGTTTAACTTTTTAAGCATGCAAATCAATGTTTAAATCACCCAAAACTCTCAAAAACTTGTGTTTATGGTTTGGGAACGCCTCCCAAAATCGTAAAATCCCATAAAGGGGTTTTGAAGCCCCAAAACCCTTCCAAATCCTTTCTAGTATTTAGCAAAGACTTAAAGACTTGCATGTACGAGTTTAGAACACTAAAATCATGTTATTTGGATAGTAAACACGAGTTTACGGCCCAAGAACATTCTTGGACTATAAAAACACCTTTATAGACCATAAACACCTTTTAAGGTGTTAAATTGCCCCTTAAACACCTCCAAAAGCTTCCATGAGTGCCTAGAACCTTATATTCCTTTATGTGATGCACCAAACCATACACAAATGAGACACACTTGAGTTTATGGTTTGGGAAGGTCTCCCAAAACCGTAAACACCTCCAAAGGGTGTTTAAGTTTCCTTAACACCTTGTATGGCTTAGATTTGGGTCTATACTTTGTATGCTTAACCTACAACCACCAAAACACATGAAGAATGGACCAAGCATGAGCTTATGGACGTAAAATCATGTGTTTATGGTAGTAAACTCCCCAAGTGTCCTTCAAGAACCGTAAACCCCTTTTTCCAAGGTCATTTCAAGTCCCAATCACATCCTAAGCCATGGAATCAACCCTAGAACCTTCCCTTGTGCATTATAAGACCATTGGACACCCAAAAACACACCACCCATGAGTTTACAGCTATAAACTCATGGGGATATGGTCTTTGGATCGTAAACACCCCTAAGGGTTTACACCTGAAGAGTAAACTCCTTATCTAGACCCTACACTCCTTAGATGCAACCCGTATCACTTCCAACACTTGAGATAAAGTGTTTTCGCGCATCGGAGTATATTATCTCACTTAATTAGTAGTTCAAAGTCTAATTAGATACAATTATGTATTTCCTTATGTTACATATGAACCTCGCGCGTGTTCAAGCCTTAATCTGACACTTAGCATCCTAACCGACACATTTCTCAACTGGTGAGTTCATACCGCTACATTTTTCCATGTACAATAATATCTTGTACTCAAACTTATTATTTCTTATGAAATGTTTCATATTCCGTATGCTTTTAACACTGGAAACCATATTAACCAACCGTTTAACCTGGAGAGTTAGTTTTCAATCTATTTGTGAAACTCATTATAAAATGCTATATTTTATATTTCACAAATGATTTTCCACATGATTACTGTTAAAAGCATTAATCTCAAAACTTTTGATACGTCCTTGGTAACACTCTCCTATATACGAGAGTGAAGGACTAATCAACAGGATTTTCTAACGTCCTTGGTAACACTCCCCTGGATACGAGAGTAAAGGACTAATCAACAGGATTTTCTAAAGTCCTTGGTAACACTCCCCTGGATACGAGAGTGAAGGACTAATCAACAGGATTTTCTAACGTCCTTGGTAACACTCGCCCTAGATACGAGAGTGAAGGACCAATTTCATTAATCTTAAGATTGGAGACACGTCCTTGGTAACACTCCCCCAGATACGAGAGTGTAGGACTACCCCTATAACCAGAATCTCCTGGAGGGAGAACGTGAATTGAGTGTATAGATCTATACGGGATTGACTAACCCGCACCTGGATGCTAGCTACAGTCGAACCGACAGGTCTACGAGTGACAAAAGTCATAACACGATATTGGCCCCGTTACGAGGCTTATCTAGTCTAATGCATGGTTATGGAACTCGTAACTTAGATTGTGAAAACTT